CTCTTCCAATTGTGCTGCTATTCTCACTTTAGATGAAGGCTTACAGAACAAAATAGTTTCTCATTTAACAGTTGGTACACATGTTGCCCTACGACAATGGATAACAACCTCACAACACATCAACACTGTCCTTACTCAACCTTGGGTTCCCCATCACCAGCTTCCTTGTCCCCTTCTGCCTTCTGGCCCTTGTCCCTGGACTGCTGTACCTTCTCTCAGAATTAGAGATGCAAGTTGCTAGAACAACTTGCAATATTATTTCTACATGGTATCATCTTCTTTCCATCTTGGCATCAGGACTAAGTTTGTACTCTTAAGATGTCCCGGGGTAAAGCAAAACTGAGGTGTTCACTTGCCCTGTCTTACTGACTGGTATCAACAGTTGCAAAGCCCCGCTTGTTGGCCGTAATTGGTACTGACTCCGCCAAAGGCCCAAATGTTGGTATAAACCGTGCTATGGTCTGATTTGCCCGCAGTCTCTAAATCTTGCATCTCTCTTCTCTTTCATGACAAAGATCTACTTGAGCATTTGGTACAGAAGGCAATATTTGTCTAATTCTCATGACAAAGCATGTTTTAAAAGTAGCAACATGGCCTATACACCAATGTTCACTGCAGCACTATTCACCATAGCCAAAAAGTAGAAACAACTGAAATGTTCATCACCAGATGAATGGATAAACAAAACGTAGTCTATATACACAATGGACTGTTGCTCAGCCAGAAAGAGCAGTGAAGTCCTGATGCATGCTGCAACATGAATGAACCTTGAAAACATCATGCCGAGCAAAATCAGTCAGTCACTAAAAGGACAAATATTGTATGATCTCACTCATATGAAATAAGCAAATATATAGAAACCAAAGATTATTAGTCAGGGGTAGGAATGGAGGGGGCATAGGGGAGTTACTGCTTAGGGAGCAGTGAGTTTATGCGAATGATGGTGGAATAATCTTGGAAAGGATAGTGAGCAAGAATGGATGTACATGTCGAAGAATGTGGAAATTGTTGAGATGGCATGTTTTGTTATGTATATTTTAACAACAATAAAAAACAAAAAGTAGCAACATGGGGGATGGGTTAGGGCATGCAGGGACTGCATCCTGCTTAAACTGTGGTCATAATCAAGGGGCCCAACTTTCGAGTGTTCCTGCATGTCCATGTGAAAAGTCGCTCCCAGAGTGCCTTAAAGATCTTCGTGTCTATTTCACCCTCTGTGCCCTCACACCACAAAGGTAACATTTGCAATTCTGTTGGTCAGCTGGATGTGAGAAAAATGCCAGCGTCTATTCACAAAGCTTGTTCTTCCCAAACACGTAGGAAAAAAGAATGGCTACCTCTTTGTAACAGAAATGAGCTTAGCAGCATAGATAACCAGTCTTTATCTTTGTAAAAAGCCTGTAAGTTAAACTATTCGTAGGCCGTGGTTTCCTCCAGACATCGAATACTTTCGCTGATAATATCTTTTGGCAGAAAGACGATAAAATATTCCTCACTGGACATTTGAAACCAACTTTTTCTACATCTCAGGGAACAGAAAAGGGAGGGTGCACTTTCCATTTTCCTCTGTGGCCCACTTTGACCAGTGTTCTGGAGGCTCTTTGGGGGAGCATCTGGGAATTTCCAAGAGTGTTGTTCAGCACTCCCTGGGAGAAAGGGTTGTCATGAGTCATAATCGACTTGATGACAACTGATTTTTTTTTTTTTTTTGTGCAGAGCATGAGGTTTGCAGTTAGAAAAATGGCTTGACCAAGACTCTGTGGTGTGGGTACAGTCACATAATTTCTTTGAGCCTTGGTTTTCCTCATCTATAAAATGGGGGTACACAACACTAACACATGGGTACCATGATTTCCCTTTAAGAAGAGGAGATCAGTGCTGAGTTGATTCTTGTACTAAAGGGTCAGGGGAGGGTTCGGAAGAGGACACTCTGAAAATGATGCAACAGATTTAACCGAGATTGATCTTCCTTTGTTGAGGACGATAGGCTACCAGGCCTGGTTGCCCATTAGCAAGATATACAGAAAAGTTATTTAACTTCTCTGAATCTTTCCTCTAGTGTGGGAATAACCATAACTACTTTGGAAAGTTGGTATGATAATCAAGCAAATAATTCAGGTAAAGTACCTGCACTTCATAGTCCCTGGGGTGGTGCAAATGTTTAAGAGCTTGACTACTACTAAAAGGTTGACAGTTTGAACCCACTCAGAGGTGCCTCGGAAGACAGGCCTGGTGATCTGCTTCCAAAAGACCACAGCCTTGAAAACCCTCTGGAGCAGTTCTACTCTGTACACATGGGGCCGCCATGAGTCAGACTGACTCGATGTCAACCAGCAACAGCAATGCTGTGCATTTAGGGTTACTATGCATCAGTATCGACTTGACAGCAACGTTGCTTTTTTTTTGTTCTTTAACATTTATTAAGGGCTCATCACGTGCCTTGCATTGGGTCGTCTATGCATTAACCGCGTGGATCCACAGGAGAACGCTGTGAGAGAAGAACTATTACATCTCGTTTACCAGTGAAGAGAATGAGCTGGAGGGATGTAGCAAATACGTTTTAAAGCCAGGGTTTGAACTTGGACAGTTTGATGCCAGAGTTCACAGTCTTTACTCACATAGCTAAATTGCCTCTCCAAAGTAGCTATTATTGATACTACCCTTGATATGGGCACTGCCATCTAGACATGCCTGGGACTGCCTGGGTATGTGGGCAGAGTTGGACTTTTAAAGGCATGGCTTAGAACCAGTTCACACTTGCATCTTTCCCCTCCTCATTCTTGCCTAGCAGTACTCACACAAATACACACGAAGAGTAATAAGTGCTCTGCTGTCTGACTCGTCCTCTCTTCTTGAGGTAAAGAATGGGTGGGACGTTAGGAAGGCATCAGAAGAAGAGAAAGAAGTGGAGGTGGGGGGGGGGTCACGATAGCTACAGCAAATAAATATAATCACAACAGGTCTTCTAACCTGAAAATCTGGAGGACCATGACAATCAGATTAAACTTTTCAAGGACACCTTCATTACTTCTCTTGCTCATAAATCCCAGTTTCAACTTGGAAAGCCCTGTATATTGTAGTCAGATGGTGCGTAATAAGAATTACTAGATACGGATTGCCAACTTGTTTGTTAGTCTTTAAACATAAAGGAATTTGACTTCTGTGTAATTTAGCAACTTAATTGCCTTCTTAAAGGTGAAAAGCCACCTCACTGTTAGTAAAGGGATTGGCAATCAACTATCTATTTGTTTGCTACCATTAACAATTAACTCCCCTCCCTTGCAAAGCCACAGAAAATTGGAAAGAAAACAAAAGTATAATGTAAAAAAAAAATTTCTATCATTCATAATTGAATTGGATTCTTTTTAGAAGAAAGTATAATACATAATACAAAGAATGCATGTGTAACACATGAATTACAAATTCCACAAAATATCATGTATAATTTACTATACTCTGTTGTGGGCTTTGCTTTTGTTTAGGTTTTTAGTGTGGAAGTATATTAGATTTTTAAGATTATTTTCTTGGAGAGGGCATATTTGATGTGTAATCATGGTTTAACTTGTTTCTTAAACTAATTTCCTTTTCTTTCTTTCAAAGGCTTTGAACTATTCTATGTAAAGGTTTACACTTGCCTTTAACATCCAACTGAGTTAGCTCAGGATGGTTATCCTCGTTGCTAGAAAGCGTGAAATAGTTTTGACACGCTATGTTTCTAGCTCACCTTTCATTCTCCTCTAATGCAAAACTTTAATGGACAGTGTGCCCTAAAACCTTTTTTTTGAAAATATGCTTCAGAAGTCCCATGTACTCTTAGAAAAGATGGCTGTTATCTGCATTTAGAAAATCACTTTCCGTACATCCATTTCTAAAGATAG